AGTAAGTTTCATAGCTGGTGGTGTAAAAATCACAATACCTACCACCTCTCCCTATCTTCCCTTGGTATGCACGATGTTCCACGAGGATATTTATAGGTTAACGGCTAAAACTCTTAGAAGTCTCAAAACATCGGGATCAAAATAAACTTTATGCAAGATCCCTTTTATTGCCCGAAGTTCTACAGAGAAGCCATTCTGACGTCACACCGTACAAATTTCAATCAATACGATAGTTTTGAGGTGGACGACCATTTTTTTAGATTTTCATTCAAATTCAATGATGACCTTCCCAGTTGATTAGAAGAAAAAATCTTATATTTTGGGAATCGTACAACGTAAGCAGTATTTATTTTGTGTACAGGTAATTATAAACAACTCTGAAGAAGTTATTTTCACTTTATAGAAGGCCTTGGAACCTGAAGGAGATAATCAGTTAGCAGTCTACAGAGATTTGTATAATCTCTGCAGTCTATCAATTGGAATGAAAATAAATCTTGATCTGCTTGAAAATTGAATTTCATGTTCCAATTCAATGCGCACTCAAATAATCTACCTGTACAACAAAATGAATAGAGGACGGAAGAAGATAAATGCGAATCCATTAAGCGCCTAATAATGAAAATGTCTTAATAAAAGGAGTCTCTTTTGCTGGCGATGAGCAATGTCGGTGTCGTATTTACCCTACTCCTCCTCCCTTTTATTACCACACAACAATGAGATAATTGTTCGGTTTATGTAATATTAATGAGTATCATCGATTCGCTCACCGATCTCAAATGTCCCTCCATTGGCGTCACTTTCAAAGGAGTAATAATATTCAGTTAAGGAATGCCAACAGGGTGGAGTATCATCTCCTTCTCCATGGAATCTAGACCAAGTCTACAGTAAGGAATTCTATACTCAGATATATTGAAATGGCATTAACTATCTAGAACTTTGTTGAAACTAATCTAGCAAACTCTGGAGTTTGTAAAAGTAGGCATTTGGCATTTGAACGGAGAGTCGATTTGACACTTCTGTCATCATTAATCAATTTATTCGTATTCGCGTTAGCCAAGGTCATCATTTAACGTTGTTTTGACATAAAAACTACGTGAAAACATGTCTAACTTAGATTCAGGGAGTAGATAAAATAGTTCAATTCTACTGCCCAAAAGTCCTAATAATTTCAATTGCTTAACCACAGGGATATTGTACAATACACCGGCGAAAAATTGTGAATGAAGAGTTGAAGCAAAAATCGATCGTAAATATTCCTAGAGCTATAGGTTGCGAATGGAGTCAGTATCGAAGTTTGATTCATACATGGTGATTCGACATAAATGATCACCCCCTAAACATTGCATCAGGAATCAAAATCTCGCGAAACTATAATTCCCCATATAGTCCAGTCGAAACAAGGTTTGACCTCCTAAAAAATCCGAAAGTTTTGAAACTTTGCACACCTGTTTGAAGGTACCTGAGGGTGAATTTACCAAAAGTCCTCATGAATATGATGCGAGCTCTAGCGGCAATTGGCGGAAACAGGGCACTTTTTTTGTTTTTCGTCAATATCTCGAGAACCGTTGGTCGGAGGTGAAGGTTCATCATATACATAATTGAAGCTTATCCAATTTTCATCAAAAATGATCATCTACAGTTTTCTTGTACCCCTAATGGTTACCGAGTTATAGGGCGCTAAAGATAGCGTTTTTTATAAATCCACGCTGGCGCTGGTACAATATGGCATTTCTAATAAGATTTGACAATGGTTTACCAATTTTACTGAGGATTGAGGAAATAAACTTCACAGATTCATTTGAAAAGAGGGACATGGTATATATTAATACGTGAAATACAAGAACAAAAAAATGCTGAGGATATTCCAAGGAAAATTGTGTGCAGAAAAATCTACCAACTCTTCATAGTAGAAGGCCCTGCAATCTGCTCATCTTGGTCAGCTGGCTGAAAAGAAGTAACTATGCATGAGATGATGAACATGACGACAGATTTATGTACACTATTGCAAGGTGAATGTATAACAAAAAAAAAAACAAATATGCAATCTTACCTGACTTCTGGTTGAGCGTCCAGCAAACACAGTGTTTTGATCTTCATGTACCAAATGTTCAGTGTTTGTATTTAGCACTGAATGCTCTGTTTCTTCAAGATATATTATATCAGGATCATCAGAGTCATCTAAGTCTTCTTCGATTGTGGAAGTAACACCATTCAAGCATTCGCCATGGCAGTTGTGACAAATGCTTGTACAACTTATTCCTGACTTCCGACAGCCACATCTGTTCCCACATCCACTTGTACATTTGCAACAAATAAGGTTGAGGACAGCTGCAGGTGCTGCTGGATCCTCTGTTGTTACAGGGATCAGCCGATCGCTTTCCAACTTCCAACCCCACTGTGCAGGAGGTAGTTCATTCCCAAGCCAAAATTGAATTTGATGGTAAACAATAGCAATACCTTGCAGTACAGCTTGCTTCTTAAACAATTTGAAACAGGGAAGTTTCCCTTTTCGATAAGCAGCCGAAGTCGTATCGCATCCGCTGAACGCATGCACATAAGAAGTATGCAGTTCTTCATTCCCAAAGTTTGCAATTGCTGGCTTGAATATACTTTCCTTGCCATGGCTCGGTTTCACAAATAATATGTTTTGTTCAGTCGGGGTTAAGGCCATGAGGAGAATAATAAGATCTACATCTTCACCGACTATTGCTACTTTGTCACAAGTGAAGGATTTCTCAAGTGCTGTTCGGACGATCAATGTATCAGCATCACTGGATGCTTGTTCTGTTTCAACACCATGGCTGTTAAGGGTAGTAATGAGGAATGTTCTTGTATTTCACTTGTTAATATACACCATGTCTCTCTTTTTGAACAAACTGTGGAGTTCATCTCCCCAATCCTCAGAGAAATTGGTAAACCATTGTCAAAATTTATTAGAAATGCCATATTGTACCAGCGCCAGTGTGAATTTGTAAAAAACGCTTTCTTTAGCGCCCTATAACTTGGTAACCATCAGGAGTACAAGAAAAGTGTTCATCATTATTTTTGTTGCAAATTTAATAAGCTTCAATTATGTATATAATGAACCTCCACCTCCGATCAACGGTTCTCGAGATATTAACGATAAACAAAAAAAGTGCCCTGTTTCCGCTAATTGCCGCTAGAGCTCGCATCATATTCATGAGGACTTTTGGTATATTCATCCCTAGGTACCTATAAATCAATGTGCAAAGTTTCAAAACTTTCGGATTTTTTCGGAGGTTGGATCATTTTTTGAGGTTTTTTGGCTGGACTAATAGGCTGTTCCACGTTACATGTTCAAAGATTATCGAAAAGAATGACCTATGAAGTATTTTGTAGTTGATTTCTCAATTGAAACAACCTCTATATTTCATTCCTCAATCATTTAGAGATTAGAAGAGAAATTATATGATACTGAATTTGAAGGAGTTGTATCTAACGACTACGTAGATGTAGCCGACTTTCTGATACCACAGTTCAGGGAATATTTGCTGATACATATAGTGACAAAAGGGTTTACCCATCCTGAACAGTCTGCTTGATCTCGATATTCGTATGACATAAGATAAAAAGATTTTATCCACTCCAACGTCTGCTATAGAGAAACGATATTCAATATTCTGTCTGTTGAACTATAGATCAAGATGAAAGTGAGAATTCGAGCATCGCGAAGTATATCGAAAACTGGTATGCATATCATGCTAAACGCACTCCTTTGAAGCCGTAATAGAGAAAACAGTCATAATCCCAAGAAATCAGATCTCGATGAAGTCTATTACAATCATAATGAGAAATGTATTGTCATAAAAGATATAGTATTCCTATCACTATCAGATTCCACATAAAATTCGCTTATCCACCCTATCCAAACAATTTTCACGGCTTGAAATGTGTTTCGCAAACTATGTTCAGCATCTTGAAGTGACGCAATAAAAGAGCAGTATATTTCAAGTTATATAAATTGAATAACTGAGCTTTATTATTAAACTAGCACATCTTCTCTTCTTTCTGTTCTAGAAAGAGCTATCGAATTTATATAATAATATCGAATCAGTAGGAATGAGAGCTTCATAATATCTATATCTATTGATTCCGCTAGTGTATCGTCACCGATACCGAAGGTTCTATATACATACTCAATGGAAGATATTTCCTAAATTCCCCATTATACAAGCAGACCGATTCATTCTGTCGTCGAATCTGAAAAAATACTTGACCTCAACAAACCAGAGTTGAAGCCATTCACAAATGTCCTTACTATACTACCTCAAAAAGTCAGACATATGGATGATTGATACATCACTTTGATCATACTCTGTTCCTGCTCAGTAACAACTCGTCAAAGAGTCAACTTCTCTATAATATTATAAGCATTTTGATACATTTATTCTTATTCGTCAATAAGGTTTTATGATATGGACACATTGAAACAAATATAAACAATCTGCACCATACCACAAGCTCAGTTTAGATGGCACAGGACTGTTGAGAATTGACAACTACTAAACTACTATACAAGGTACAATACATTGTAAATATCCTCTATATCTGAATAAATCTATCTATCTATCTATCTATAATATGAAATATACATGGCTATACAGTGTTCTCCACTGAATCCTATTACTGCAGCGTCAATGGTAATACTTTTCCCTTGATTTGATGAAATAATTTTTTATATTTAATCTTCCTAAGATTACCGGTAATCCTGAATTCGTGGTGTTGGTATGTACATTACTGAGTCCCAACAAACGCTCTTGATGAAATAGTACATGAGCCGCTCTCAATGAAATAGTACATGAGCTGGTTTTAATGAAATAGTACATGAGCGTTTGTTATCCATAATGCTCTAAAAAACTTGGCAAGCCCCATGTCCCCTATTTGGATACTTGATAGCGACACATTGTGTTAATACAGCTATCAAAAAATACCAATAACATTGACAATATTGTTTGTTGCAGAATTAGAGGCAGACAGTCATGACTTCCCATCGAGAGTTTCTGCTGCTGCTACTGCGGATAGCAACGCTGTGCCTCGTGAGGTCTGCAGAGGTCTACAGGGAGCAGAAATTTGCCATGGAGCCTCAAGACCAGACCGCAGTAGTTGGGTCCAAGGTGACCTTGCCTTGCAGGGTGATTGGGAAGAGTGGAATTTTGCAATGGACGAAGGACGATTTCGGATTGGGAACGCACAGGAATCTGAGTGGATTCGAGCGGTATTCTATGATTGGAAGTGATGAGGAAGGTAAGAACATCTCGTTTTCATCTGCGTGAATTCCGAGACTCAGAGAACTAGGAAGAATTTAGAGCATTAGTCATCTGCTGATGCAATATCAGTTTGATAAGGCCAGCTGGCGATTGATAATAAGTTCACCAATCGAAAATGCTTCATCTTCTAGATGAAACAAGAATTACAAAGCTAGAATAGAACTGTCTTCTATAACTGAATGTTAGTACTAGATGTAAAAGTTGATTTATGCACACCGCTATTCTGTTATTATTAATCTGTTGCTTTCATTAACTTTCATTGAAGTTCATTGTTATTTCAGGACTATAATACCTTTATGCTAAACCTGTTTTTAATTTCAAACTCCTATTCTTGATCGAAACATAGTTCTCAGCGTATACTTAGCACGATGGAAATATTTGTTATAACATTCAGTGATCACATAATTACAATAAAGAATCAATCATTCTAATTCTACCCACGAATAACTAGATAATACTCCACCTGAAAATGGAGTTGAATGAATTATAGATTCAATGGATGTTGATCATATATGATCAATTTTTGATGAGCTTAAGAAAAATTGGGAAATTACTGGTATCAAATAGACCCGCTGAACCATGAAAAATTGATTGACCTACTTCTACAAGCGGGAATGAAGTGATTACCCTCATCTTTTGTGATTGGCAGCCATAACGAAAAACTTGCAGTCATTAGTAAACAAGGAGCGAACCATCTTGCAAATCGAGTGCCTTATGATAAACTTTTTCCTAATACGCTAATTCTCCTCTAAGTTCTCGAAGGAAGTATGCATATTTGGGGGAAGTTTCTTAATCAATATTATAATTTGATTAGGAAGTTGTATGAAGTTGAGCGAAGTTTATTAAAGTAGAATATAAACACAGTGCCGAAGTTGATTTCAATTTGATACTCATTTTGAGTATAATGAATATAATAACAATTAGTATTTCGTCAACTTTGGAATTAGACGCAGTATTGAGATAGTCAGTTTCATTTCAACTTCATCTTATATGCATGCTTCAACTAGTTTCTTATATTTTATGGGTTACAATTCATTTCACATAGTTTTCACAGTTGAAAACCAATGTATATACAGAGGGTGTTTCACAATTGTGGAAAGCCTAGGGGAGATTTCTCTCAACACGATAAGATTAATATCTTGAAAACGTTAATGCAGATTTTATGAAATTTTCTGGATTATCAATACAATTATCAGACATTTTCTGGACCAATTAGATTTGTTCCAGAATTCGCAGGGACGTACCCATCGTGCAAATCGGCATTTTTTTATAAAAAAAAAGTCAACCAGTGTTCATTTTGGAGTTCTTCTGAAATATCCACATAAACCCCACTAAAAATACAATATTTTCGTCTCTGGCTATTGTTCCGTATCTTGCTACGTTTTCGAGAAAAACGAACAATATGTACCATACACATTATTAGTTATGGAAACAAAAAAGACATAGAATTCAATACTTCCTCTGAAATGTATACGATCTTATTTTTCAAGATATTGATGAATGACTCTCCATGATGACACCCCATATCTCGGAGACGAAGTATTTTCAGACCCATGTTCATATGAACTTTTTTTTCATATTTCATTTTGAAGAATCTACCAGCATTATGTCTCTCACAATTTTGAAACACCGTGATATGTATATGTATCTCAAATACTCTCTCAATAATTTATTGTTTTGCCACCGGACTTCCATTCAATATCAGTAAATCACTTAATTTTAGTGAATATGTAGTTAACACACTTATTTTTGATAGCGTTTCCATTGTAATTGAGTCAGAGGAAACCGTATCCTTTATGCCCAGGAGATCCAAATTCTTACGATACCATTGAGTTTTTCCATTCGTCGCAACCCTCAAAAGAAAATGGAACTTTATTATCCCAATTTCTCCACCCCTCCGAGCCAATACCAATAAAACCCGCTTCTTTCCTTCATCATTTCTAGGAATCTGGAATCTCTAAATTTTTTCCGTATATAGCACAACAGTTTTCTCACCTCATCTTCTCCCATCGTGCCTTGTCAACAATCGGTTCTCTCCAAACTGTTTCTCAAAGAGGAGCTCGAAAACATTTGAAAAATGATTCGGGTATATTATCGTCTACTGGCATGTTCCTTTCATCACCCATTGAATATCATACACTGAATCACACAGGACGTTTGCTGACTAAGGTATGCTTATGTCCTTCACTTCTGGTGCTTAACAAATAAGATTTAGTACAACAATGATTCTCAATGAATCGCTTGATCCTTTTTCTCACAATAAACAACAACAAACAAACAAACATCAAACAAGTATTTAGGTGGTGCCATCTGTCAGCAAAGTGGTTTACTTGTAGTGAAACGGGTAACCGTAGGAGCCTGCACGTGTTGACTAGTCATTGCAGCATCCTACAGTGTATGACGTGGCCCCAAGGCCCTACCTTGGAACTAACGCTACTAGATGGCGATAGCATAACTTGAACATCCCCAGGAAGCATATCAAATTCGCTGAATCCTGATTTTATATTTGGCCAATATAGATAATATTGTAAATGTATAAATAATGTTGGTCGAATATGAGAGTATAATAAAATATTGGAATGATAATATTGGTGGAATATTGGTTCAACCTGAGCTAAATGTGGATTGTCATCTACAATATTCAAGCAATATCAGTAAGAAAGTTCATTTACAATATGTGGAAAAAGATGCATATATATAAATATCGGTACAACGACATCGTATACCTACATATTGTTTTCAACAATTATAAACCAATATTACAATTTGAATATTCTCCCAATGTCGATTCGATATGCAATATTGTATATTCGTGTTCGACATCACATTGGTGGAATATTGTTTCAACAATATTTGATACATCATATTTACCTATATTGATTGATATCGATCTAACTATATCATGTAGAAGATATCGAATGCATATTGTTTCAAAAATGAATATCTATATCGGCCATTTGATATTGTATTCCCAAGTTCAATTGCTTATCGGTAACATAATTATGGCTTTGAAGATACATATAGATATCGTCATTTAGATATCAATTCTTCATCATTCTCAAACATATGTCGATAGATGGCAGACGAGAGAATATGAATAAGATTCACACCAACTTATTGAAAACAGAATATGATTCGCTAGCACAGTATAACTTCTTGAAGTGAAATACGATAGTGTTTCTTCCAAATTGGTATAACTTTGTGTTGAAATTCTGATCGAACATCAAAAGTTCATGCGATATTTATGGAATTCTATGACTTTTAGATGAACGGTTCCGGGAATATTGAGAAAGAGTGTCCTATTTGAAAGAGCTCAGCTATCTTATCATACGACCTTTTATCCATGAAGTTAATCGACCCACGAAGTATAGGAAACGTCCTGTATATATAAGGCAAATCAATGTTAGGTTAACTTATCGAATTGAAGGAGCTACTATGTGTGCCAAAATGTCCACGTGTTGATAAGAACTTTATGTTAGTCTTATCCGGTCTTATCGTTTCAAATTTTTTACAATTAATGTTTTGTCCCTATTTCTTACGAATAGGATGGGGTCTGAAATGACATGATAGAATTTTCTTTCATGTGGTACGTGAAGATATACGTACAAAGCACAAAGCGATTTGCCAGCTCAAATCCAGATCGAGGAAAATGTAATGTCAAGAACAAGCCCGTGGATTGTCTGAAAGCCAGTCTTATGCATCCTGACTGTAGTGTATAAAATACCGAATCGACAGGACAAGAAGCTGGGCATCTATCGAGATCATGAGCTTTGTCAATCAAATCTCATCCACTATTCAATGAAATCTTGCACCATATCATCAATGGTAATAACTAATATGCATTTTTGTCATATGTATATACTTAATATTATTTTGATCATACTCTCCGATTGCTCAGGGAGGTTAGGTATAAATTCCAACTTTCAGAGATCGAAAAAAATTTTAAGATTGACACATTTACATAATTGTGCCATAAACATAGATTCAGATAGAGTATTGAAGGTTTATCAATTCAATAGACGATAGTGTGTTCTGAAAACCATGAATATTGTAACAACGCATAAAAGTATGAGCAGTGTTTATTCAAAAGGCTTATTCTGTTGCGCTGTTGGTGAAATTGAATTTTGGCGTTAGTAATATTTTTCTCTGTCATATTTTTGATCGAATATGCTTCCTTCTCGCGTTATCCAAATGAACCATCCAACATTTCCGCTCAGTTGAGATGGAAACAAACAATATCTGGCCAAGTGATGAACATCTCTTCATTTCGAGCTTTCCATTCAAAACGCCGCCATTTCCGTAGGCAATTTACTAGCCGAAAAACCTAATATGGATCACGTTAGTCATCAAAAAAACTCGAATGAAAGCTTGATTAACATTGAATGAATGTTACATTGATACAAAGAGATCTTTCTGCGAAGCAGAGCAACAAATTATCTTCATATATTATAAACACCTATAAATGGAATTTGAGTTATTTGAAAGCCTGGAATATCATGTAAGAGGTACCTATCATGGGAAAAAGTTTTCACGATCTCATAAGGGCCTTTGAATTTCAGAATAAGCTTTTTGTTACTACCTACTGAAGTGTCAACATTTTTAACTAAAACAAAATCTCCTACTTGATATTTCTTACTGCTGAATTTTGGCGATATTGTTTTCAGCTTCTTGTCTTATTTCTACGATATCTCGATCTTCAGCATTAATACATTCCAAAAGTGACTTGACATAATCAATATTTTTATTTCCCTGAGCGACTCCAAAAAGTAGTTTACTAGGAATTTCTTTGGTTGAAGAAGAAACAGAGTTATTCAAAGCAAATTCAACTTGATCTAACTTTTGATCCCATTCTTTTACATCATCACAAAGTTTTGCAAGCATTGGAGTAATAAATTTGTTCATAATTTCTACCTGTCCATTAGCTCTTGGGACGCCTGAAGCTACTAAAACATGTTCAATAGCATATTCCTCTATAAA